TTTGTATATATAAAATATATCTAAATTACTACAAAGCCTTCATAGAAGACATGGGAGCAGCCTAACAGACTAATTCTAATACTTTCCTAAGCAACTTGGATGACAACATGACAATAAAAGTATAGTACAGGAATGCACAGAATTTTACTCTAATCTCCCTTAAACTTTGCTATAATAGAAAACCTACCAAACTTTCCTCCTCTAAACATCACCCTGGACAACTGATGGGATTATCATACATCATGCAGAAAATACTGCAAGTGGAGTGCATTTAGTCACTGTGAAATCTTACTTGATAATGCTGTTCTTCAGTATGAAAGTAAGTAGACGCCTTGCATATGTGTGCAAGTCGATAACTTAAACCAACCAGTTACCTGATAATTAGACATAATGGACACAATTGTTTTTAAACTGATAATACACATTATTTTCCTACCTTCTTATTATGTTAAAACCATAAACATAAACTTTCATTAAAATAAAACTGGTATAGTTTGATTGTGTGCATTCCTTTAACAACTATATGAAATTGATGTTGGCAGTTAAAGGTTTTTATTCAATCAACAGGTAAAAGAAATACAAAATTAAAACTATTAAAATATATAAATCATTTTCAAAAGTTCATACACACTAGATTAATACTGAATTAAAAATCATTATTGAAGTGCCTGAAGAAGATTCTTAAAGCATTTGACTTCAGGCTAATAAAGAAAGAAAAATGGTATAACAGAATATCACTTGTTACTATCTGTTGCACATAAGTACTGAAGTTTGTACATCAGAAAACTTGGGAATTGAAATGGTACATTATTATTTATCAAATCAGTGATTCCTTTAAGAGTAGTAAATTCTCACATACACAATACACAATGCCATACATGGAACTAAAAGAAGACAGTATGAGTATCCTAGAATAAGACAAAAACTCTTTTGTTTGAAGTGGTTTAAAGCGAGACTGTAAATTCAGGTTCCTTATCTACAGTTATTTATCCTTGTATGCACAATTTGAAAATATCTAGCTGCCCTTTCTTGTACAACTTTTACTTCATTTTAATACTAGGAGTGGCAATACAGTTCCTGAAATGGCAGATGAAAGCAACTTCTTTCACAGTCATTTATGTCATCTTTTTTTTTTTTTATTAGTGTTCTGTCTGACGACAGGTCCATATGAACAGGATCCTTCCATCCTCTTCAGGTTGACAGGGAGCTGTTCATATACTTTCTTGGCAGATGATCCAGAAGTGGTTTGCCATTGCCTTCTTCTGTGTGTGTGAATGGAGTAATTGTTGGGATGCCACGGAGAAACCCCCGGAGGAAAACTC